GATATGTAGTATTAAAAAGTTTAAATAATTCAAATAATCCAGGAAAAGCATTTTTTGATGAGGTTGGTATTTTTTATTTAAAACAAAAAACTAATGCTATATTGTATAATACTAATTAATTTTATATTAATTACAGGCAATTAATTATTGTAAAATCAAAACAACAATGATTGTTCCTTGTTATGGCATAACTAAATTCCCAGATAATGGAAATTATGCAATGATTTTAATTTATTTATCAGACGGAAATTTAAGAGGTTATTTACAAAAAAATCATTCTATTTTGACATTAAAAGATAGAATTGCAATTTTTAGATGGTTATGTGTTGCATTATATTTTATACATGAAAAAGATTTAATTCATTGTGATTTACATAGTGGTAATGTATTATTGCAAGGAGGTACTTGTTGGGGTTATGTGGACCAGTTGATGAAAAGTCATCAAATAAAATATATTATTGAATGGAAAAGATTGTTGTTGTATTACAGATTTAGGATTATGTGGACCAGTTGATGAAAAATCATCAAATAAAATTTATGGAATTATATCATATGTTGCACCTGAGCTGCTTGGAAGTAAAATTAATGCAAAAAATACCAAAGAATCTGATATCTATAGCGTTGGGATGCTTATGTGGGAAATATTTGCAGGACATCCACCATTTGATGATAGAGCTCATAGTCATCGTTTAATTTTTGATATATGTGAAGGCTTACGACCACCAATATTACCTGGAATGCCTGATGATTATGTACGAATGATGCAAAAGTGTTGGGATGTGGATCCATCTAAAAGACCGACTATTAGAGAGCTTGGTCAATTTGCTGTCAATGAAATTTATAAAATTGAAAATTTGAAAAATAATGATAGTAAATATAACAATGGTTTAATAAAAAGATTTTTCAAATTTCTTAAAATTAAAAGAGATAAATTTCTTAAAATTGAAAAAGATAAATTTGATTTAAATAACAATGGTGGCAGCAACAGCAGTAGTAGCAGTTCACAACAAGTCCACAGATCACATCCAGACGCATATCATAAAAGCAGAATATTAGATGATGAAATTGCCAAGTCAAAAGGTTATACAAGTAATGATAGTTCGTTAAACAATCTTGATTTTAACTCCTTTCTCTTGAATGTCAAAGGTGAATTAAATTTTATTATTAATTAATTGGAAATTATTATCCATTAATTATTACTAACTATATTTTTAATCAATTAATAAACATCAGATTCTAGTAATAATAGTAAAGGAAAAAATATTGAATTATTAATTTAATATCCACTATAAATTTATTCATTATATTAATTATATATATTTATCTTTTTGTTTGTTCCCTTTCATTTTGTTTATTTTTATTTCTTAAAGCTGAATTATAATAGTATTCTGAAATAATAAATTTTTTGTACATAGAAATTTTAATTCTTGTTCCAGAGCAGAAAATATTTTGAATATAAGTTTTTCTTTTCCTTTACTTATTATTATTATTAAAGCCATGTTTGTGATTAGTAATATTAATAATGATGATGATGGTGGTAGTAATTCACACAACAAAATACACAAGTGATATCCCGACACATACCATACAAGTAGAATCTTAGGTGATGAGATTATTAGATCTAAAGGCTTAAAAAGCATGATACAATATTTATTAAATAATCTTAAGTGGAAAACACAAACTATCTTCTTAAAACAAATTCCATCAAACACACCTATCAATTGGTCATATACAGAATTTTGTTTAAAGTTCTCCCAATATTCAATGTTCACTGAAAATAAAAAAGAATTTAGTTATTTGGGAGCTCAAACTGTAGTATTAAAATCTTTAAATAATTCAAGTAATCCAGGGAAACCATTTTTTGATGAGGTAATTGATTTATTTAAAGCAAAAATATATTATAATATTATATATTATTAATTGATTTTATATTTGATTGCAGGCAGTCAATTATTCTAAAATTAAATCAAATTGGATTGTTACTTGCTATGGTATAACTAAATTTCCAGATAATGGAAATTATGCAATAGTTCTTAATTATCATTCAGATGGAAATTTAAGAGATTATTTACAAAAAAATCATTCTAATTTAACATTAAAAGATAGAATTACAATCTTTAATTATTTATGTGAATCATTATATGATATACATGAAAAAGATATAATACACT